GGTACCTAAAATTGTATCATAAATAGGATGATATTTTGTGTGAATTGACCATTAAGGGTTTAATCTTGTTGATTAACTTTTGATCGAGTATTGTAGTACTAGTGGACGTATGTAAAGTCGTTGGTTGACCACGGTAATCCTTTTAGTGACAAAAGGGTTGAGGTAACTGAATTTTCTAATCTCCCTTTTTGTGAGTTTGGATAGTACTGTGTTAGATTTCAAAGTTAATGTTTTAGTTTAGTATTAACATTGTAATACTATGAAATTATGATTTTGAAATTATGTGAAGTGGAATGAAAAGTTTCTTTAATGTTCTAGTATTTGGAGAGTAAATGCTATTTTTATATATAACTACTTACTAAATTCTATGGTTTAAGTGAAAATGATCAATTGTGATAAATTATATGTTATGACTATATGTTGGAGCATCGAGTATGTTTGGCATGATCATTGTAAGAGGGTAAGAGTTCATCCTAGTTTGATGTTGGGACATTGTTTGAAAATTAATATGGTACACTGGCACTGTAGAGGCCCCAGTGCTCAGTGTTATATTGTTTGAAAGTCCCAGTACTATGTAAGATAGATTGAACATTGACACACTTAGTATTCATAGACAGGGGGAATCTATGGTCCCTAATAAGGAAAAGCTTTCTTGGTCAATGCTGCTTCCTACTAATGGTGAGCTTGGGCCAATCCAATCATATGGACTTGGTCCCATCTAGTTGTTAGCCCACAAATTCAGTTGGAAGACATAAGGAGAGTATAAGGTAGTGTGTTAATCATACATTTCATTCTATAACTATATGTGTAAATATATGAGTTATTATATGTTTTGAATGCAACTTCACATATGCACAAACTATTCTTACACACGAATAGTTGATTAGATTATTTGGTTACTTAGTCCGTGACTTATCCTGTGGTTACATTTTACATGTGAAGGCTTCAATAGGGATAAGGGAAAGGAAGGTACGACTGAGCATCAAGGGAACTAGCCAGATTTTATAGTCCCTTTCATTTATTTAGTTTTGTAACGAATATTGTATGTATATGCCAACTTAGGACATATATAGTTTTGTGATGCACTTGCATGATTTCTGTTGTTAATTGTAGGTATCTCAGCCCGAGTTTGTTGTATTTGTGTTGTAATGATTGTGAGAGGTCGAGATACTCGTGTAAGTATTAGCCTTATATTGATTCATGTGTTAGATTGGCCATTGGATTAATTATGAAAGGTTGTCACCCTTAGTGGAAATTATGCTAAATATGGGATTTTGGTGGCCAGATCTTGTTTGAAATGTTATTGTTGTGTTTTGAATGTTTGTACAAGTTTTTTGTAGTCCATTTGAGTTAGTTTAAGTGGTTCCATAGCTATTAGCATTTGGGTTAAGAGTTTAGACACCTCAGTAGCAATTTTGAAAGAAAAAAAAAATACCATTTTGACTTTAGGTGTCCAAATCTCATTTAGCTTTATGTTTTGGTATGAGACCAGTGCCAATAGCTATATGACTCTATGAGCTATGTACGAATGCTTGAATTCCTTGAATTGGATGTCAAATGACAAAATGGCAATTTTTGAAAGTTGGCTTGAAGAGTTGTCATGACAATAGTTTGCTATCATGACAGGGGACGTGTGCCATAGCGTGAGGCACGAAGAAGGATGTATCCATTTGTGCAGTTCGCCACAGCAGACAATGAAGTGCGTTGCGGTGCATTGTGCCTTAGTGGCTGAAAAACTTTCAGTTTAGCTTAATATTTTCATGTGAAGAATTCTCATGCTTTCGTTGTCTTATTTATTTAATTTTGAATTATAGTTTGAGCTCAAACAATCTTTTAAAAAAAATTTTCTTGGGATCCTATTTTTCTTAAATATTTTCTTAAGCTTAGGTTATGATAACTATTTATGAGATTAATGAAATCTTTATTATCATAGTGTTATTTCGTGTTTAGTATTCTGTGTGCATGATAATATTAGGGATGATGTTATACTTTTGTATACTTTATAACTCTAATTAAGTCTTATTTTAAATAATATTTATTTATTTAATAGTAAAAATTTGAAATTCCATTTGAAAAGAAGTTTAAATATCATAGGATTTTACTGACAATGGATGTGAAAGTCCATGATTTCATCAAAGAATTTAAAACTCAAATTAATTAGTTAATTAAAATTTTCTAATGTTTAAACTTCTTTTTAAATGAAATCCTAAGTTTTCACTATTAAATAAATAAAAATTATTTAAAAAATATTAAATTAGAGTTATAGAATATACGAAAGTATAATAAACCAATCGTTTGAAAAAACATTGCAAAAAAGAGTAAAAAAAAATCATTTTCACAAAATTATGGATTGTTTGCCACAACCAACAATGCATTTATCGTAGCAAACCACACTAAGACTAATTTGGTCTACATAATAGTTAACATTCTATATATAAATAGTGGGATTAATTTGTTTAAAATTTTAAAGTTTAAAATCTAAAATGTTACTAACATAATAGTTTAGAGTCTGTGACAATAATTGACAATAACATGTCAGCATTAACTGAGACCCACTATGAACAATACTGCATGAACAATAATCGCGTTTAAAGATTTAATAGCCAATGTTTATTTTACTACGAATTTAAAAGTTTAGGGTTTACATTTTAAGAGTTTAAAGTTTAGGACGCTTTTTAAACAAGAGTTCAGGGTTCGTTTTACTTATTAACCCTATATATTATATATTATAATAGTTCTAAAATATATTTAAAATGTTTAAAACTAAAATGGGAGCCTAACTAAAATGTTTACTTTTAAATAAGCTTTTAAATAGGCTTTTAAATCAAGCAATACTTTAGGTAGGTTTAGGTTTAAGCAATAAACTTTTAAATAGGCTTTCAAATCAAGTAATGCTTTAAGTAAGTTTAGGTTTAAGCCATAAAAAAAAAAAAAAAACCTCCCTTATGCAGGTTTTAGGTGAGACTCAAACATTTAATTTATTATATAGACTCAAATTTATTTAATTAAAGCTTAGCTCACTTAACTTATTTCTATTCAATTTGGGAGTTACCCAACTTGGCATGGCATTCATATTAACACGATCCTCCATGGCACTTTTGACAGGCTAGCATGAAGAGACAAAAGTCTTTGGGCATGGAAATGAAGTTTTGGTGTGTGATGACTCAGCATCGAGCATCATGGTAGCAGATTAACTTCTTAATCCAATGGTCTTTTTCGCCTGGTCTCGTCTTCAATCGTAATTAAGTACTTCTTATCAGGGATGGCCTATCAATCAACAAGTGAGCGATTGATTTCAGACGGGACTGCAAGAAGTCGCCGACTCTTTGTTGACGAAACGAATATTCTATGTTCAAAGATGCATTATTTTTTGCTGGAAAATCTTGAGCATGACGCGGATTACCCACTAGTTTATACGCCAATCAAGACCAAGTTCTTCTCTCCACATTCTTCCAGAGCTAATCAGTCGATATATTGACTTGACTTAGTCCCATCAAGACAATTACTCCTTGAAAAATTAGAATATAAGTTTTTTCTTTAAGATAATCTTAATTTAAAACAAGAGGATCTTAGTATTTGTAAAAAACAAAATCATTTTATTTCTCCTATTTATTAATGTAATTTTTATATCAGTGAATTTATGACCCATCCTCGCTTATTATAAATTGGAACTAGTGGCAATATATATATATTTTAATAAAAATAAAATTTTCATTAGCATGCAAATTATTATTAAAATTAAAAATGTTTATATTTTTCGATCCAAAGGAGCATCTACGAAAATTTGTCAAAAACTACTAACGCTAATGCACAATAAACTTTGTGAAATAAATTAATCATTTGCGGCATGCAATTTTGATTTGATTAAAATTTAATATTTAAATTTTAATTTAGTGTAATTTAATCTTTATATCTTGGGAATTTAAAGCATCAGTTTCTAAGTTTTAAGAAATAATTATAGCTCTTATAATTTTATTTTTTAAAATATAAAGATAAATATTTTAAATGATTAAAATTATAAAGATTGAGTTACACTGGTTCATAATTTAAAAAAAAAAACTAAGTTTTAACCAAGTGAAAACTTTATACATGATTGAATTGCACAAAATCAAATTTTAAAATTTAAATTTTATTTGTGCGAAAAGTACGTGATCAAATGATTTTTTTTTCAATATTTTAATACACTTATTCATTTATGCAAATTTTGTTTGTCGCATTCATAAAGCCTAACGAAGAAGGAATTCATTGGAGGGGCGGTGGTGAGAGGTTGGGGTTGGGTCTATTGAACGTGAGTTAAGGTTTATGAAGACTTATGCCTCATATTCTCCACTACTTGCAATGTTTTTATTATTTGAATTAAATTAAATCAAATGAACAACAAATACTGATTAATTAGATTATATTCCTTTTCCTGTAGGCTTTCTGAATTTATAATAAGCCTATTAAGGACGGACTCTTTAATTAGGTCCAACGATAGAAATGTAAATGAGGTTAGGAATAACAACGGAAATGTAAATAAAAATAAGGTTTGAATTCGATACAATGATATAGAAATATGTTTGCTTGGTTAGATATATTAGAATACTTGTCATGAATTTTTAGCCAATAAAAAAAATCTTTTTTAATCTATTTAATTACAAATAGTAGGATATTGAATTTTAATTTCAAGATACACACCCCTGCGCATTGCACCAAGAGCAACACTAGCAACTATCAAGATAGAGAAAGAAATTCATTGTTTCCCCCATAGAAGATATGATTTGAATGATTTCTAATTTTATCCACATAAAAAAAAAGAGGGGAAAAATAAAAAGCAATAGCAACGTGGGCAAATACAGATATGTAAAAGTTTAAAGGATGTTTTGGTCTTTTTGTTCACGAGTCCAGGAATGTTCAACATTCCATCCTTCATCCAGAGAAATCACCATTGAGCTTGAATCTTAGATTACCAAGGGAACGGAATGATGAACGGGAAAAAAAAATTGATCAAACATGCTTAATTATTGGAATCATCTTCCATTCCTTTCTCTCAAGTAATAATCTCCGCAAACCAAACAAGCCCAAAGAGTTGCTGGATATGATGACCATCGAACTTAAGTCAAGCATTCAAACACTTTCCTTGATCAGATTAAGCAAAGGAAAAAAACAAAAAACAAACAAACAAACAAACAAACAAAGGAAAAAAAAATGAAAATCTTGGCGCCATCAATTCCTGGAGTTCTAAATACACTGTAGGATAGTGGGCCAGAAGATGGGGCTCAATTGGACCAAGCCCATTCCTTAAAGCCCACTATTCTATTTCATATCAAGTATTTCCTTCTCCTCTGAAACTGGTGCTCTATCTCTGTTTTCTAAAGCTTGATGGCTTTTGAACAGTTCATTATTTTCTAGCTGAGAAAACTTATCTTTAGATTCTCCCTTCAGAAGGTCCACCACCTCAAGCATGGTGGGTCTCCTCTCAGGCTGACTTTGAGCACATGCAAGGCCAACAAGAATCATTCTTTTAAGTTCTTCCTCCACATAGCTACCCTTTAGCTTTGAATCTGCAAGTTCATTAAATTTCTTCTCACAAGCCAAAGGAAGTGCCCAATCACATATTGATTGCTTCGTTGTGGCACTCAGTTTTCCAATTGGTCTCTTGCCACTAGCAAGTTCAAGCAAGAGAATTCCAAAACTGTAAATATCACAACTCTTGGATGCCTTACCAAGCAAGGCATATTCTGGTGCGAGGTAGCCGAGGGTTCCCTTAATTGTAGTGGCACTCACATCAGTTGCCCCATCAGAAATCAACTTGGCAACTTCAAAACCTGTAATCCGAGCATGGAAATCTGCATCCAATAGCACATTGCTTGCTTTGATATCTCTGTGGATTACTTGTGGTGTTGCTTGGTGGTGAAGATATCTGAAAAAAAAAAAAAAACAAAAGGTTACATTACATAAGGTCAGCGATGAAGAACTACAACTTGAAAAGTAAAATATTAGACATGATGAAAAGCTTCAAAAATCTATAACAAGATATGTATTCTTTTTCACATGTGTACCCAGTATGTAGAGTCTTTTAAACCTTGACTAATCCGGATCAATCGAGGTCGGGCCACAAAGGCTGCAAGCTCTTCCAATGAGTATTTAACACAACTGCATACTTAGGATTCAAACTTAAGACTTTTGGTTAAATTAGTACAACTTCTAACTAGTTATGCTATGCGCTCATTGGTAGGTGTACTGTTCTTTAGATGAAAGAAAGCAAGGCCAAGACTTACGCAATGCCCTCAGCTGACCCAATCGCGATGTTCATCCGTCTATTCCAATCAAGAAGACATTCTTCAGGGTGCTGTCCATGAAGATGAGAGAACAGGCTCCAATTTGGCATATAGTCAAATACAATTAGCCTTTCTTGCCCCACAGCACAATATCCACGCAGACTAACAAGATTCTTGTGCCGTACACTCGCCAATATTTCAATTTCCAAAGCAAATTCTGTGCCTGCCTTGTTGCTCCAAACCTTCAATCTCTTAACTGCAATCTGTAGGTGTACATGGATGTGAATTATTTAGGTTCACTTCCCAATCATGATGAGAAAATTTGACACAACCCATATGTGAAAGAGGGCCTTTTTAGCTTTTAAGTTTTATCATAAGGCGACATTTTTGGCCCATACAAAAATTTTACACTTCAAATTTGGTACTTCAGTGTCCCATCCAAAATCCCATAATGGTAAAGATAGAAGCCAAACACACAAACTCCCAGTGAAAATATTATAAGGATCTATGACTATGACAGCAGACTTTTATCTAGCAGAACCAGATACCATTCATGGCAGAAAGCAATGATATCAATAAGATTAAAAACAACAAGAAACAAAAGCTGATAAGATAGCAGGCAACAAAGAATAGAAGATAAAGTCATCATCTCACTTGTGATCCATTCCAAAGTTGGCCCCAATAGACACTGCAAAATTCCCCTTCTTCAAGCTTGTTATCATAGTTAAAATTATTTGTCGCCAAGAGTATTTCTTTCAAAGAGAAGACCCGCCATTTAGGTAGCTTCTTCTCTCGCGCTTTTCTGCATAATGGAGACTCTCATATATCAATTAACAATGTAAATTTGAATCTGAAATAATGTAATTTACAAGTTTAGATCGACCTAGTTGGTTTCAGAGTGAACAAATATACAGAACAGTTCAGCAATTCAGCGATTATGATTAAGCTCTAATATCTCTCTATATTTTGCCTCCTAGATTTACCTAGCAAACTAATGATCAATAGATTTTTCTTAATCAGACCAATTTGCTCCTACCGGGAAATATAACCCCAGAATTCAGAACCCTTTGTCATTCTCATCTTCCACCTAAAACACAACTAACCAGGATGATCGAGTAAAACACACAGAACCATGAATATCTGTTTCTTTTTTTAATTAACTTACCGGCCCAGACCCTTTGAACAGAAAAATATTGGGCAAAAAGCCATACCACCAATCACTCTCAGCTTCTTCTATTTCTCTGTCAGTCTCCGAAATCAAATCTTAGAAAGCAAGCAAAATTTAAACTTTGAATTAACCCACGAAACAAAACCAGATTCTTCAAGTCCCTCCAATCCAAAAGGTGATTCTTTTTCCGTATTCTACTTGCCTAGCGTGTTTTACCGTGAACGTGAAGGATGGCAGGGACGATGAGCGAAACATGAGAACTAGATTCGATTCCAGAGTAACCGAAGGCATGTTTTCGTGTGGGAAGAAAACGCCAAAATGATGTTATGCGAACGCTGTCCTGTTAACTAGAAACTATTTTTTCGGACAAACTGTTAACTAGAAACTAGAAAGACGGTTCTTAATATCATGAATAAAATTATATTAAGTTCCCTATATTTTATCTTAATTATAAATAACTCCTTTCTTTTCTCAAAATTTATATAAGACTCCCCTAAAATCAAAATTTACATAACACACGTCTCCCCTCTAATTTAGATTTTCATTTTCAACTATCCAATCATTAAATCATTAATTTTGAACTAAAATATCCCTCTTTAATATAAATGTAGTTTAAGAGTCATTTAAGTTTCTAAGCAACTAATTATAATATATAAGTTGACAAAAATAATACTCCCCCCATCTCAAATTATAAAATACTTTTGAAAGAGTTTCTCCATTTTAAAATATAAAATACTTTAAGTACATTAAAGCTTCATTAAATGTATCAATTCTAATTTTATCATTTCTCTCTCTATAATTAATTTTCATCACTTCTCTTTTTGATATATTAAATGATGAGTATTTTTAAAAGTTTATATTTTTATTTTGAAAAAAATAAAGTTATTAAGTATATTTAATAAAATTTATTAATATGTGAGATTTTGTTTAAAAGTATCTTATAATTTTGGACGAAGAGAATATTAAAAAAATAAATTATTTATATAGTATATAAGTTTAAGAGTCATTTATATAAACTTATTTATATTTTAAGTTTCTAAGTTGACAAAAATAATATTTCAGATACATATGAATAAAAATTTAATAAATTAGAAACCTTCTTGAAAAAAAGAGTTAGGAATTTAATATAAAGAAGATAACTTAATTAATATATTTTATATTTATTTTATTAATTTTAATGTAATGTATGTTTATTAATTTTAATATTTTGTAAAATGTATATGAAAGTGAAATATAACCATAACGTTCTTTAAAATTGGAGGAGAGAGAATATATTAGATTATAAGGACAGATTAATAGTTTTAAATTTTTTTCATATATTTTAATTAATATAATAAAAATTTTAGACTCTTAAACTGAATATTCTTAACTATTTAAAAAAAAATAGACCGGAGCATAGTTTTGAAAAATAAAGAGGAATTTTTTGTAATTTTGATAAACTTGAAGGTGCTATTTGTATTTTCCCGAAATATTTGCTCGATTTTGCAATTGAATATCATGTATCAACGCAAGCTCACTGTTGGCCAAAAAGCAAGAAGAAAGAAGGCAAGCTCAAGCTTTTATTCCTTTTCGTCGGCTTATTCGTCCAGTATTGTAGCTGTACTGCCGCAATTCAAAATCAATTGGGTCCACTTTTCTGTTACGGCCCATACCAGATTTTGAAGCCAGGCTACTCAAAATCTACAACAAAAATTAGGCCCCACGATCCTTTTTCTTTCTTTCTTTTCGGGCCCAAAAAGACTGTCCATATATACTACAAGTTCAGAAAACGGATATCAACTGTTCTAAAGTTACCAACGGGAGTTGATCCGAATGGTAAGCAGTTCGGTTTCGTTTAAGCAAGGTCTCAAGTTTGAACCTTGTGTATGTAGAAAATTCTTACTAAGAGACTCACCCATCATGCCAGGTACATGATGCGGGTCGGATCTGGATGCAGTCGAGGCAAAGCTTCGGTGAATCGGCTGGGCTACCAAAAAAAAAAAAACTGCTCTAAAGTTAATCATGCTTAGAAAATCTTGAAAATGATACGAGGAAAAATTAGAATTTGAATGAAGAAAATAACTATTCAAATAATTTTAATTACGCTCCCACTACAACAATTAATACCACATGCATTTTCATATAATTGGATTATTGAATTTCCATTAATTTATTATACAATCAAATGAATCAACGAATAATATTTAAAAGAACTAAATATTAATTATTTAAAACACTCAATTTTTTTAAAAAGTCAAGGATGTATGTGTTGCTAAATATTATAAAATATTATAAAGATATAATGCTAAGGTTAAACTATTAAAAAAAACTAAAAATATAAAAAAAAAGTAATTATCATCAGAAACATAGAAGCTTGCATAAATGAAACAGGTTAATAGAGATTGTATATCCTGAACGAAAGCATTGTGCTAAAGCTTGTTGGAAAGAGCCTAATGGAAGAAATTTTTCTTATAGCAAGTGACGCACAGAGTAAATAGACAAGTGATACTAAATATTAGTAACGCACTAAAATGCATAATGAAGACAGAGTGATGAAATAGAATGCATTAGTATTCACTGTTATTTTTCTTGAAGACAAATCCATTCAACAAAATTTAAATGATCTAACTATGTGAAGCAATTATCAACAAATTTAAATTCTGCTACAATTTATAATATTTATAACTTATAAATTTTATCATGTGATCTTCTTTTCCAATACTGTATGATATATTTTGTTTGCCTTTTTAATCAACACGATGGAGGAAGTGCTAGTTAAACCCTAAAATAAATATCTCGGCTGGTTTCTTGGACTTGGGCTAATGCTGGTTAAACCCTAAGTACATTTTGAGCTAGTCTGGTCCAAAATAGAAAGCTAATAGAAGCCTGACGAGTCATCCGGCAGTCGGTGAACGTGGCAAGCTTAAATCGTGCCACGTAACACCTGAAACGTTGTGAAAACGACACGTTGTGTTAACCATTACACAAGAAGAAGAAGCTGCTTCGCATATATATCTTTATCCAACTATATAAATTTTCCCATTGGTAACTTTGAGCGGTAAGGTTAAAGCAAAGGAAAATTGAGAAGATGATGCAGGAAAAGAAGATGCAACGAGCTGAAAGCATAAGGTTTAGAGAAAGGAAAGTGAGAGAATTGATGGTGGGCCAGAAGCGGTTAGTGGAGGTACCGTACACGGCGTCGCTGGCCGATACTATGAACACGCTGGTGGCGAACAAGGTGATGGCGGTGCCGGTGGCTGCGCCTCCGGGACAATGGATCGGCGCCGGAGGGTCCATGATCGTGGAGTCCGATAAGCAAACCGGGGCGGTGCGAAAACATTACATAGGGATGGTGACAATGCTTGATATTGTGGCACACATTGCCGGAGACGGCGGTGGCGGCGCGGACGGTGGCCGTTTGAAAGTTACCGATGGCACTGAGGATCTTGATCAACGGATGTCCGTTCCCGTTTCCTCCATTATCGGTCACTGCTTTGAAGGACTTAGCTTGTGGACTCTCAATCCAAATACGAGGTTATAGTTATAATTAGAAAACCCCCTTTATCATATCTCATTCTTCATTTTATATCCTATTTATGTTTTTTTCTTGCGCAAGCAATTAAATTTAAGTGTTTTGGTCTGAGTTTCAATATATGAGAAACGATGTTTATTTTATTTTATTTAAAGCACGCAAATTTTTTGGCTATACTTGCATTCAAATAAGGTCACATGCACTTAATCAGTCAGGATCGTCTAACTTCCTCACCAAAAAAAAAAAAAAAAAAAATTCAACGTCGTATGTCTAGTCTAGGAACTATCATTTAGCAATAGAAAGCTATCTTAAGTTCTAAAAGGACAAGAATAAACTAAGACTAGAAGAAAGAGTTAAATTCAAACACGTTTGAGCTTAAATTTTCAAGTCTTCTGTAGTTCCTTCTTATTTTTGTAATTCTGTGTGCTCTTAACAGAATCTTAGTTAATTTTGGTTGCTGAATGAGGGTTTCTAAATTTGGAAAAATTTTAAATTGTTTCATTTTTCAGACAAAATAAATCACAATTATGAATAGTGCAAATTTTAGAATTCATATATTTAGTGACATCTTGTGAATTCTTAACCATAATATGTTCCTAATGTTACAATTAATCAATAAACATTTTTCTATTTTAATAGCATTTTACTTTAATTTAAATTAATAGCTAAAGATTAGATTTGGGTATATTGAAGGACAACAAACAGGACAAAACCAACATCATGAACCAAATTGAAAGTTGATATCGGACAGCAACGTACGTAACTGTATAATTAAATCTAGCGGGCTATTTCCTAGGTTGTTGACTGTCTTTCAAGTTTGAGTAATCACCAATCATGTCTCAAATGTTTCAAGAATTCACTTCAAATTTGAATTTTGAGTTAGAAAAGTGTTGGATGTGTAGTGTAATAGAAAGCATGGAAGTGTTGAGCAAAGGAGTGCATCGAGTACTGGTCCCAATGGACAGCCAAATGGAGAACGTAGCACCAGTAGGAGTGGAACTTGTAGAATCTGCTTCATGCTACAGAATGTTGACTCAGATGGACGTCCTCAGGTTCATGAAACAACACAGTGCCGATTACGAACTCCAGACTGTCTTGTCTTGCTCCGTTCAGCAACTCGGGGCCGTCAATCATGACGTTTACGCCATTACCGATCGCACCAAGCTCATCGACGCCATCAAGTGCCTCAAAACCGCCATGTTAAATGCCGTTCCTATCGTCACAGCCTCTGATTCTGATGATGACCCATCTCACAAACACCTTATTTATGTAAGATTCTCTATCTACATAATGTTGTTTTTCAGACTCTCTGTGTCTAACAAAAAGAACTCTCACATTTCTTGACTCAGAAATTGACAGGTTATCATAGATTAAAGAAATCTGTTTCTGAACGTTAGTGTTTTAGCGATTTTGAAACTTGTATATAGTGGAACACAACAATATAATTTTTTTATCTGAAAATAAGTGAAAGTTTCGAGTCTTTACTAGATTCAAGCATGTTTCCAAATTTAATGCTGATTTAGGTAGCGGGATTTGGATGCACCATCTTGTATTTTATAAATCAAATTTTTATTACCTAGATCAATCTTTATTGAATGAGACATTGGCATATTTTCTAAACAACTCTATAAGTATGAAATGCTTATAACTGATTTATGATTTTCATTGATTGTAATTTTCCTTTCCACAGGTTGACCGATTGCATTTATTCTGCTTAGTTATGTTGAAAATATTTCATTTTGTTGTATATATAATGAGAACATAAGTCAATAATAATTAAATCACATCTAAAACATATTTATAACCTAGCTATATCACGGTTGTGATTGCAGGGGAGAACGAGGAAGCTGATAGGTACATTTTCTGCGACTGATTTGAGAGGATGTTACGTGGCGACATTGAAGTCATGGTTGGGGATAAGTGCACTTGCTTTCACTGAAGAAATTGGGATGAGCCCACTCTACTCGCCCAACACTGCCACGTCGACAAGGCAACTTGTGACGTGTTATGCTGACTCACCCTTGTCTGAAGTGATCGACAAGGCCGTGACTAAGCACGTGCATAGGATTTGGGTGGTGGATCAGGATGGTTTGCTTGTGGGGCTTGTGTCTCTTACGGATGTTATTAGAGTCATAAGGCTTTCGCTTGTACCAGATTGATCGGATCACCTGATGTTTGTGAGACATTCTATAGGTTTTACTTAATTATACCAAGCCTAAAATGCAATGGGTAAATGAGCAAATTATAATTTAGTAGCAATATTTATTATGCAAATTATTTCCTCAATATTAAAAATGGTTTGTGGCCCCTGCTTTTACAAAAATTAATTTTTAATTTTGACTTTTAGCTAACAAAAATTAATATCAAATCTTATGATGAATGAAATCACTTAAGATTGTACCAACCTTATTGCCAACCTTTGTAAGGTAGGTGGTTTAAAAGGTATGTGCCAATCTTTGTAAGGTAGGTGATTTAGGAGGTATTCATAGTTATGAAGGTATTATGAGCAAAGACAACACTCTTTGCAAGGAGCACAGCCTCGCCATTCTCAATTTACAATTGTGTTCTCAATTTACAATTGTGTGCAACTTATTTTATTATGTTAAATATCAGGTTTTGCAAATAAAAAAAATGAATGACAAAGGGAGGGAGGGAGGGGGTGGGAACAAGGTGGCATGAATTTTGAGTTTGATCATGATTGCACCTAATAAAATAATATTATGAGTATTTATGTTCTATTTTCTTTAGGTTATTGGATGCTCTTGGTCGATAACTTCATAAGTATTTTTGCCTCCTTTTTAGTGTACGTTAATAAAGATTGACACATCACAAATACAGTTAATATTTAACATTGAAAACTGACAACATTAAAATAATTTAATAGTTTGATCACTTTTGCATTAACTTTAGTAACGTTATGGATATCTTGTGTCCTTTGTTTTACTTAAAATTACTGGATATCCCTAGTTGATCGCTTTGTAAGTGTTTTTACACCTTACCCTTATTGAAAAATTCAAAATACATTTTTAGATATTAAAAATAAATTTTAACAGTGAATATTTTATCAGGCAATAAAGCAGTTTGCTTCACACACATACGAGAATTATAATATTTCAAAGCTAAAGAATACTAATAATCCCATTCCCAAAACATAGATTACACATGAGCTCATTCACACTAAGCACGCACAGCAAACACAAATTGATTATGCCCTGTTGGAACCAGAAGCTGTTGATGGATAATAAGAGTAAGAAAGTGATTATATGTATAATAATAGTATTAAGGATTAAAATCCATGCAATAATGTTGTAATCATCATCAGATTTGGTCCCGGAAAGAGACAACAAAAAAGTAGGTGTGCAGGTGGGGCTGTAGCAGTAGCAGTTCTCAGGAGTAGATTTCACCGACAGACTCATGAGCACCCGCTAGCCATTAAAAATTCATTTCATGCATCCATCCTCCGCTCTGTTAGCTGATGAATTAAATTTTAGTTTCATTAACTTTAACATAAAATCTGACCCATGTCCTGAATTTTTCATGTATGTCGAAATCTTACATTTACAATGTAAATGCTATATTTTGTAAACTAGAAACAGATTTGAGCTGTTAAAATATTCAAACAATCCTAATAGATAACTCATTTATTTATTAAATCTCCAACTCCTCTCAGGCATAAAATCTATTTAATTTTCACATTGTTGGATGGCTTACATTATTAGAGGTCTAACATGAACAAATACATTACACTGATGAAGAAAAATGTACTCTCTAGAGTTCAGGCCACCTAAAAAAGTGAAGAAAAATTGTTGTGTTAGCAATGCCATGAGTGGCCGGACCAAGCTTTAAATTAAGTAAGGTCCCATTTTGTCATGATTTGGAGAGGGCGAGAGAATATTTTTCATAATTTGAAAAAAAAAACATAAAATTTACCATATATATATATATATATTTGTAATTCATGAATAATAAAATTTATTTTTTTTCGAACTTCATCTACACGATCACTATTATGTCATGTACAACTTTTTTGTTTATATCCTATCTAACCTTTCTTTATAGGATTGAGGGTTAACAATACACCACACAACAAACCCACGTACACAAATATTTTTTAAATCAAGTGGGAGTTTGATACTTTAATCTCTTGCATCCATGAATATGATAATAAGAATAGTGCCACTTAACTGAAGCTTTAATTGGCTCACGTACACTAAAACACTATGATTATTTCTTATTTTTATAGTTTTATTTAATTTTATTCTATATATATATATATATATATTAAATACACTACTGTAACATTCATTAATTCTCTTTGTCCTTCAGAAGTTTTGTTTACAATTGTCAGCTTCCATAAGATTCCATGAGATTAGATTAATTATAATAGGCCTCATACATAACCATACCAAATATTAAAAACAATAATGAAATAAGAGAAATTCCAGTATAAATTAGCAAGAATGACATTAAAATTTTAAAATAATAAATTTATTACATTTAAATTCCTGATCAAATTTTTTTAGAAAATCAGTTATAAATATTGATTTAGTCTTTTATAAATTCAAGAGTTCTAATTACAAATAAGATATTTTAATTCTAAATATAACTTTTAATTTTCAATTAGGTTTTTTATTTGTAACTACTTAAATCAATATTTGTAATTTAATTTTTAAAATATTTTATCCGAAACCTCACTATTATAAAACATTATTGACACTCTCCCTGTAAACTAAGCTGGACACCATACCATTGGCGCCGCAGCATTGTATATATTTGCCGGTCCTCTGTGGTAGAACTGTAAAAAAAGCATCAAATTCAAACCAGGCACGGTCCGCATCCGTGTGAGGTTGTTTTTGTGGACCGGACAAGACGGGGGTTCCGGTGTGGGAACTCGGGTTGGGCGGTGACCGGCTGTGGGCCGACATGAACCGCCTGGTCTCCTTCCTCTTGCACCACCAAGTCCTCGACGAACAGTTCTTGCAGCTTCACCAACTTCAAGACCTCTCCTCTCCCTTCTTCGTCTCCCAAGTTTTCTCCATCTACTTCCATGAGTCCGAGAAGCTTCTCTCCACTCTCCGATCTCTTCTGTACCTACTCATACTTACATCACTATATATCATTCATACATATTCTAATGGTTACTATACTTACATAAGCATATGCATGTGTAGAATGGATAAGGGGTTATTGGACTTGAAGAAAATGGCAATACATTTGAATCAGTTCATGGGTAGCAGCTCCAGCATTGGTGCCAAGAGAATCCGCAACGCCTGTCTTGCCTTTCGTGCTTCTATTCTACTCAATAACCGCCCTGGGTCTGTTGTTATTCCTTATTCAAGTTTCAAATACACATATATGTACTTCAGATCAGTTCTTGAAGTTTTATAAGCATCTGCATTTTATGAGTCCCACATCAACTGGTCTCAAACGTAGAATGAGATCTATAAGTGTGATAGCCTTTCCCACTTTAAGTTGGCTAGCTAGTCTCTTGGACTCTCCCTTTAGATTTATCAGACTCTCTTAAAAGGGTGAGGAGCTTTCCACTCAACAGACTGGTTTTTGGATGAGTTCTTCATTTGGACTTGTGCTCATAACACTGTATTTACTTTTCTTTATATATTTCCAGAGGCAAAATTCATATTCACTTCACTTCAGAAGACTTGATAAACTCTCATTTCAACATGCAAATATGATATATCATACATTGGATCATACAGACGCAGAAGCTAATTAACAGAGTGTTTCTATTATGTTGAACGGTGGGTTTCAGATGCTTGAGAGCTTTGGAGATGCTGGAACAGGAGTATTGCTATCTCAAGAACAAGTTACACGAATTATTCCAAGTACGTACGTACTCTGTAATCAATGAATCTAGCTGTTTACTAGTTGATTTCCATTTCTTTAATTAAATAACAAGAGACCTGACCATAATCAATGAGGCTGCATTGGTTATTAATGATATTATTATGAATACAGATAGAGCAGCAACGCGTTTTGGCAGCAGGCGTGAGATACCCGGTTGGTGCAGAATTAAGATGAATTAAATTAAAGCCCCATTGATTGGATATACGTATCGTCTAGTGATGACAATAATTAATGCAAAAATGGGCTGATTGATGCAGGCTTTTACGCCTCTGTAGGGTTCGCTTTTTCTGGTTTTGAGAGCAACCAGAGGGTGACCAACTTTTGTACTTGGTGAGGGTTTGAATGGGAAAAAAAAGAGTCAAGTATCTGCTGGCATTTGGATTCTCATGTACGAATACGTGGTGGCATCGTCCTCTTCTACATTTCACTATGCGTGTCTTTGTACCCTTTTGAATAAAACTGAATCAAATATTGTCAAAGTTTTAGTTTCGTACGTGCAGCTACCTGCTTTCATTTCATGTTTTACTCTTTTTGCAAGCAATTCACCACGCTCCCTTGGTGAATTTAACAGTGCATGCATGTTCCCATCCCCCCCCCTTTTTTTAATTTGCCATTTACATGTACACCATTTTACATGTTTGTATACAAGCATTATTATTAGCACAAAGTTCGGCCGTTGTACAAATTAAAATTGAGAAGAATTACAGTTAAATTTCAAAGAAATTGTACGTATCACATGGAAGCCGTAGCTGCTAATATATTATACTATATATGGATTTAACCTTAATTTTGTGAGATCTCAGTTAAATAAAGAAGGATCCAAATTAGCAATGAAAATCTATTATATTAGAGTAATATTGATGGGTACAAATTTCACAGAAGAGTGAGCATCTGTGGCAGAGGAATCTATTGAAGTTGATGGTCAAAATTTTGAGGAAAGTTTTGAACAAGTGAAGACAGAGACGATACCAGAGCTGTACATATATACATACACGCATATGACCACTAAGATTGCTTGAAGTTGCAGACGATGCTCTCTTAGATACTGTCACATTTATTGGAACCTGCCTAGTCTTGTCTAATCCATCCACAGTAACGTTTTCTCACTGGACAAGAAACAAAACTAATTAGTTCTACTTGGACCCTCCCTAGCTAGCATCTCGATTCTTCGCACGGCTACGATATTATGGATAATTTACTCCATGCAAGAATTTCTGATCTCATCAGAGCCACAAGGGGGGTTGGAAATTCATGTGATGCCAAGTTCACAATCCAATATGCTTATATAAAGCCCTTGAAGATTACGAGGGAGATGTGTGAATTCCGGAATCAAATTTTGAGATGACTTGATTAAGTCATTACTCTTACGAGAAAATTAAATAAATTTTTTTTAAGAAGTTGCTTGGGAATGTGAAATGTCTACAGAACCAAGTTCACTTGAATTGATGATATTGGCACATGCCAAAATTAAAGAACCTGTCCTTTTGATTGCAACTCTCTAAAAAATTCAATTCGTATTGATCTTAGGTACTGCACTAAAGCGAAATAGGTTTGGCTTAGGCTCGTTAAGAGCTCAAAAAATAATCTACTTTGTTTGCTCTCCCATTATGGGCAATGGTGGAGTTCCGTATATGCGATGGGTTAAATACAGCCCTCGTATGGAAAAAATTACATAAATAATAAGAAAAAAATATAATCTTGCATCCTTAATTTTAGAATTTTAAACTCTTTAGACATAACAAAAAAATATTTGAGTTAAAAAACTTCTTAAATAAATGATATTTTAACTAAAATTCCATAAATCTAAACTAAAAAAATTATACTCATTAGACATATTAAAAAAAATGGATCTAAGAGTTATTTATTTGATAGTAAAATTCAAGAACAACAAATTAAATTGCCCTTTTGGGTAATAGTTTTTTTTTGTTTATTTTTCAAACTAAACTCTATATCAATACTCTCAACACATTTTTTTCCCAAACAACTATTTTTTTCCAGATAAAAATATGCATAATTTTACTTATATTATTGTATTTTTTGCTTATTGTAATTATTTTTTAAAATTATTATATTATTTTTTTTTAAATTCTTAATTTTTTAAATTAAGTTATTTCATACTCCTTAACTTTGGGTCCTAACTCTGCCATTAATTATAGGATTGGATCTTATGGGATGCAAACAACAAAGCCAGAAGCCTAGCATCTGGAAAAATTCTAGGTGCAGAAGATTATTATCTAAAGAAGCTATTTTGGATCTTGATGTTGCTTTTAGATTCACTCAAATAGAATAAATGACCCAATCTTAAAGTGTATGAAAACTTTAACTACTGAAAATGGGGTTCGTTGTAATTTCCTAGACTATTCTCTATAATTTTTTTTTTTGGTCTTTTTGATAATCTTTTTCAGTAATAGTTAAATCAATGGATGTTCAACAGAAGGACAACTGCTTTGCTCTTAATATATGAGGGGCGACATTATATTATTATTGACTTGAGGGTGACCATGTGTACCTGAAAAAAAAAAATTGAGACAAATTAACACTTTAATTCGTTAAAATACCTTTGGAGTATTCAAGGTTAGTATTTGTAGCAAGCCAGTCAAAGTGGGAAAGATAACATTTAACATAGTAAAGAATGTGTTGTTCAGTATTCATTACAGTTGATGGGAAAAAAAAATAATGAAACACCGTTGATGAAAAAATGATTATAAAACAAAATGAAAGAACGAAAGAAATTAGAATTAGAAATATATATATAAAAAAAACAAAATCAAAAAGGTATTTTAGAATACCTCATTTTGCTTTCAACTCTCTCCCTCTTCTCTCCCTTTTGCCAGCTTCGAACATGGTACCTCATGAATTTGTCATTCCATGACTGACCACGAGCACCAACGTGCCGGCATCTACGGGGCGTTCATTTTATTTATTTAAACAATTGCCACTAATAGGCCATTAGCTCAAAATCTTCTATCACACCTTACTAGGGGTCTACTGCTGCTGAATCCACGTCTTTTTTACCATAGGCCCAAGAACAGTTGGGGTTGTTTTGAATTTTAAAGGATTATGCATTGTCCCACAACACCTGGAACATAATTTTTTTAATAAAAAAATACGTGTGAAAAAAATAATTATGCATACTGTAGGTGCATCCCTCGCACAACATCCTATAAGTATTAAATTTTGTCTTCTCTTCTTATTTGAAAAATAAATAAGAAAGTATGATTTAGAAGCTTTCAAATTCATATGTATCACAGAGCCCATCCTTCAACACACTTCCTTACTATCAAGTATGATCAACAAAGGTTAAATTTAGTAAAAGAAGTTAGTTCTCCATAATGTGGTGAACAAAGTTTCAAATTTTCACTAGAAAAGGTTCATATATTTAGTACCTCATAATACTTCGAATATGATGGCCTCTAATATAACGGAAGAATGCCTATGGGTAAAAAATAATGATAATAATAATGCATATGCTCCTCTTGCTTTCCAAAGATGTACAATAATACAAGGAAAATAAAGTTAGTAATAAGATCGAATTAATACTTACTCTCCTTCCAAATGGTAGTTATATTTTAGAATTATTTAAAAAATACCTAAATTTTCAATTTTAGCTTTCTTTACAATTAATATTCATCATAAAAAATTTTCTAAGAATTCAAACGATAACATATAAAAAGGTTAAAATTGAAAATATTAATTATCTAACTTTGCGTTATATTAAGAACGTCGAATATTTTTGCCCACAAATGCGCACGACTAATACCCCAAGATGTGAGGTTAAAAAAAAAAAAAAGTACTGCAAGATGTCGTGGTCTCTTTTTTTTTTAAAAAAGATTATATATATTAACAGTAAGAATATTATAATTATGAAGATTATTTAAATTAATCAAAAAGAAATTTATTTATTTGAAAAAATAAATTAATTTAAATTTTTAAATATTATAATTTTTTTTGAAAATATTAATTTCTTGCCATTACAATTTTACACCATTAATATACCAAATCTTCCCACTATTTTTTTTAAATAATCCAAATATTCGTTTGAAAAAGCGATCCTCCACGTAATAGTAAATTTTTTTTTTTTTTTTCTTTAAGAAGAAGAAGAAGCTATCAGACAAAATCGCTATAATTTAGAATAAAAAAGGAAAGGAGAGGTATTATAGAATACCTCTATGCCTCCTGTGTGTTTTGAAAGGAAAGTAATGGATGGAGGAGAGCAGATGCCAGCCCTCGAGCCCGCGTCACTTCATATGACAAGACTGATCCACCAGTGAACCACAAAGGCGAGTGAGCCGGTGAGGGCGAGGCATAAGATTTTATATTATGATCATCAATATGTTGTCTTGAACCAACAAACCGAAGATACCCCAAAAAAAAAAAAATTGAAATTAACGTGTAATTTTATTTTGATATGTCTGTCAAATAATCTTAGGTAGAGCTGAAAAAATAGGCCAGTCCTTGATGGGCTCTGGCCTAAAAAGGTCGGGCTTAAAAGGCTCGTTTTTTTTTTGAAATATCAAATTATAAGATCCGACCTTTGAGATAGCGAATTTAGGGCCGGCTCTACAAGTTTCAAGCCCTATTATTTTTTTATTAAATTTTTTATCAAATTAAATATTAATACTCTATTTCGTTACACAACTCAAAAATCTCATATCAATATGTAAATCAAGAGTACAACCATATTAATTAATAAAATGACAACAATCAAAATAAAACAACTAAATAAACCATAAACACAAACAAAGTGATAGCATCATAATGACCACATGAGATAAACCATAGACACAAGTCTGACAAAGAGCAAAATTGAGAATAAGGAAAGAACAAGCAAAAGAAAATCAGACTATAGTTCTATTCGAGCAAGAGGAGGATTTGAGAGATGCTATCGTTTAAGTCTTTGACTTTAGTGAAGCACTATTACAAACAAAAGAGCATAATGAAGCATGGTGACAAATAGAGGAGCACTGTTAGGATTTGGGAGATGCTATCAATAAAGAGAAATGATGAGAGATGAGCACAACTCACATAAACAAGAGATAAATCGTAAAGGGACAGAATCAATGAAATGTAGTTTAAAGAGTTAAGTTAGGAGATTTAGGGTTAGTTGTTATTTTTTTTAATGTTTTTTCTCCCTTGCATGTACAAATAGATCATGCTCAAACTTTTTTTCAAGT